CATGGACCCAGCCATGATTGTTCTTACCAGAGCACATGAAGGAAACCCCTGACCTACAAGGAATTAACCTTGCAGAGCTGAAGTACCAGGGCAAAGATTATTATACTGTGGTAGGCTGGTTGGAAAATAAATGAAAAAATGTTGAATAATTTCTAGAACACGGAATTACAGAGAAGTGTTTTGAGATAATCATTTATCTGTGGAGATTTTCAGTGTCTCTATATATACTTGAGACACAGCAAGGTCTTGATTGGTCAAGATGAATAGGACTAATGATCCCTCAGAAATTCAAAGGCTCAGTATTAATTATTTCCCAACAGCTGGCTGTATTTATAGTGCTGCTGGAGATAAGTAGCTGAGTAAGGAAATTGTGGATTTAGAAGTGTCCCTAAACAAACAGTTTACCCTCCCATCTCAGAATAGTAGCTGTAGAAGGAAGCAGAACAGAACGATCTGCCCCAGAACTTTCATACTGAAAGCCAGGACTGACACAATTACAGTCAAGTCTTATTGGTACTCATGGTATATTTTTTCTTTCAATTAATTAGCTACTAACATTTCAAAGGCAAGAAAAGCCTAGGATGAGCTGCAAGGCCATGCCAGACTTGCCAATCTTTTTTTTTTTTTAATTGAGTTTATTGGTATATTTTAGGTATACAGTACAGTTACATTCATCATTGGGATCTTGTACCTTTACATGACAGGTCCTGGGTCTCATTTTTTACCCATATTCCTGCCCTCCCTTTACCCCCTTTACCTTCAGTCTTCTTATGTAGAAAGACATCCATCCCAGGCCTTCAGATGGTCCTATTAGAATGTTCTGCAGTGATAGAAATGTCACTCTGTTGTACTCTGCAAGAGCCACTAGCCACATGTGGCTCTTGAACACTTCAGTTGTGGCTAGTGTGATGAGATACTGAATTCTAAATTTTATCCACTTGCAATTACATTTCTATAGATATTGATGATTAAAGACTATATATAATATTTAACACTACAGTTCTAAAGTGATCAGGCAGACTCCAAAAGTCTAAGATCATAGTAATATGTGTCTGGGTTTCTTCTCTCTACTCAGACCACAAAGAAAGTTATAGGTAGGTTCTATTTGTTTTGTTTTAATGAAAAGCAACCACTACTTACATAGTTTTTTAGTGCAACTGCTTTTAAAATGCACCAGAATCATTTGCTACTTCAGTTAACAAAGAATTAAAATAGTATCCAAATACTTTATTGATTTAATGACTTAAGGATTCATGGGGAAATAGTTCCTAATTAGATTTTGCTTTACACATTTCTCACCTTATCCTTATGCTTATGGATTATTTTCCTTTTAAAACTCTGTCCATATGTTTAAGTCATATGTGAGCATATTTTATGAGATAGTAAAATTCAACATAAAGCTTTAATTTTCATAGCTTAGTAGCTCTAGTCATCGTAGACCAACTAAGAAACAGAACAATGTTTAACTTAATTTTTATAGTAATGAAAATGTCAAAATTATGCAGATTCAAAAAAGAGACGCTTTTTAAAACAGAATAACTATAAAATCAATATTTTTACAGTTAAATGAGATCAAGATTTAAATCTCATTTAAATATTTTCTGGTCTACAATGAAAAGTGAAAGGATAGAAGGAAGCCTATCTCCATTATCCTACTTTTTTCTTAACAGAAAGCATACAAGGAAATTTTACCAGATATTCAGACTGAAGCCCAAGAATGCAGGTAACTACAAATGGTTTTCTGTCACGTTTAAAAGAAGTAGCATAGGCTGTTATAGGAGGAGGAAAATATTAAAACGATTTAAGTTCAGCCTCATTCTGTACCAGACCTTGTGACCAGCGGAGGTAGTTGTTATCCATCCCGGAAGTGATTACGTGTCTTCTCCAGACCCAAATCCTATTTGGGGATGAGTTTACGGACACCACTCCACTCCTCCCTTTCAGACCTGGCCGCTGGCAGGCAGAGGTGTCACCTTTTTAGTAGATTGTGTCCTTGACCACCTGGCTGTTGAAGCTGGACGTTCAGAGCCATCGGAATGTGTCTCTCTCAGGCCTTCCCCACCAGGGGTTATAGATCTTACCTTCCAGACAAGTACCTTTCATGTTCATTCTGCATATCCACTGCACCCACCTGACCTGTGCCCTTCTCCTGCAGCCTGCTCCTAACTGCTGCTGTACACCCGCCCCGTTCCAAACCTTCCAGTGCAGCTACAGTAAATTTCCAAAAAATGAATATTACACCCTTCCTGTGCTTAAAATGTTGCATTGTGAGTGAAACCCAGAATCTTTGAATAAAGCTGTGTTCCTTAGAGTTAAAAATTGGAGGCAAATAATAGAGGATATGACTGACATTTCTCAAAGTGGCTGCCTCCAAAGATACAGGGATGGGGCAAGAGGGGTGAGGAAAGAGACTGGTGTTTTACCTGTTAGGTCTTGCAGTACTATATGACTTTTTCTATGTAGAACATACTTTGACAAAAATGACATTTCAAAAAGCATTTTAAAATATTTGTGGAACCAGCATATGTGTAAGGACAGCTGTGTTTTCCCTTAAGAAAACTTAAGAGCCCTTCCAGCTATGTTTATTTCTTTTTTAGGGTCTCACTATGTAGTTGAGACTGCCCTGGCACTCACTCTGTAGCCCAGGCTGGTCTCGAACTCACAACGATTCTCCTGCCTCAGCCTCCAGAGTGCTGGGATTACAGGCATGTGCCACCGTGCCCAGCTTCAGCTGTGTCTATTTCTTATCTGGCCAACTATCTTTGAGTCTTTGATATTCATATGAAGGTGACATTACATGTGTGAATATTGTCAAGAGATTATGGAGAATCGTAAGGATCAGATTTAAAACGTTTGGTGGTAGACAGTTAATTTCCACATTTTTTCTGTCATTCAAATACATAGGGATTTAGCTCAGTGGCACCGTGCCTGCCTCACAAGTGCAAGGGCCTCAGTTCAATCTGCAGTACCAAATACATAGGGTGAAAATTATTGATAAGGCATGACATGCCTTTGACTTACTCTTTTTGTCTTATTTTCTTGACCCAGGCTGGTTTGTAAGTATATGAAGGAACTGCTTCCTAGTTGGTAGCAACATTCATCACTTAAAGTCTTTTGTCCATGGGTGCTTTGACAGGGAAGGCAGATACTGTACTGCAGCCTGCAGAAGACTCTAATCAAAATACAGCACTGAGGCCCACAACAGAAGGAGAGAGGGGAACCTGAGAGTCTGGAATCTCAGAATCTATAGAGAATAGGAAAGAATAAATTAAGTATTGAAATAGAAAAAGAATGAATGAAATATTGTAAGACACACCAAATAACCTGTTTTTCATAATACATGAAATCTTATAATTGTAAACCTTAATAGGTTTTATTCATTAAATATTTGAGCCAAGAGAAATTGTTGCTCATGAGAGACCAAAGTCTGAAAAGGAAAACAATCACTGGACTTGTATTTAATCACTTTTTATTTTCTCAGATCTCGGTCATGTCATTATCTGGCCCTAGTGCTTACATAACTTAATTAGGGGAGTTCAGGCAGCAGTGGGAATAGGAGGACAAAATGAAAGGGTAACAGTTAAAATGGATTGCCAGTGGTTGCGTGAGGTGGGTGGAGATGAAGCCTATTAAGGACCTAATTCTGGAAGAAGCTCTTGACACTGATCATTTCTGAAAAGGAGATTTTTTTTTTCTTACCCACATACGCGGTTCTGTACACTTGTCTGCAAACCTTAAGAGTTGTTACATCTGATCATCAGCTTGTGGAATTACTAACACCGAACCACTTTGAAAGAGCAGACAAGGTTATTAACTTTGGCAGGAAATGAAAATTTGGCCTTAATATACATGTGAAATTGAATTGTCTGTAGCACAAAGCTTTTGAGATTACCCATGCAAAATGAGAAAACTATCTAAATTTAAAATTGTCCTCAGTACAGTGAAAAGTAATTTTGCAGACTGCATTTTTACTGCATTGAAATCCGTGAAGAGATTGGCTCTATTAATTTAGATTTAAACAGAGGCTCTGTGTCTTCTAAAAATGGTAAATGAGATGGAAAATGTATTTTAAGGGAGAAAAAGAGACTTTCTGAAAATGCTGCAGGCAGGCTAACTCCCTACTCCATATCTTTGAGTCTGGCTTCCGAGGGAAGGCACTGTCTGCTGTGACAGGCATTCAGAACAAGGACACACAGCGCCTTAGTGGCATGGAGCAGGCTTCAAGAGGGGATGAGAAGCCGTGGAGTGCGACGCAGCACAGAAGTCATCAACGGCTTTTACATTGCATTTAGCGAAGTAGCGGGGTCCTTGAGAGGGGAAAAAAAAAAGGCATTGAATATATTTTCTCAAATGTCAAATAACTTCCTTATCCCTGCCTAAGAGAATACTAGGGTAGCAGATTTGGTTATATAAACCACGTTCTCACACATATAATTATCTTTTGTATAAAGGGAAATTGAGTATTTCATTGCTTGGTCTGAATTGATTTAGATCACAAGGACAAAACATTTGTTTATTATTAATAAACTATTAGTCATTAAATAGAGGACTGTTTGGGACCATAGTTAGTTTCATAAGCTATCATTTAGCCATCAAGAATAATAGATTCATCCACTGCCTGCCTCGAAGCACAAGGACCCGAGTTCAATCCCCAGTACCAAAAAAAAATAAAATAAAATAATAATAATAATAGATTTAACACAATAGCCTGAATGCAAAAAGGGTAACTAATCAACTTGTTTTCTCTGTTGCCCAAAGTCTTAGTATTGAACAGAGTTGTAATTGTGAGGGAAGTGAGAGCAAGAAAGTAATTTACCTATTCTTGGTTCTTAGAGCTGCTGGGCAATAGAATTGAGCCTAGAACTAAAGTCATATGAACTTCCAGATAATTTACTTACTTGGTACAGCTTATTAAAAAAAAAAAATCCACATGCTGAATAGGCAGCACAGCAAAACAATAAAATCAACCACCCTTTCCTTGTTTTCTTTTTGCCATCCAGGTATTGCTGTGCTGTACTTACATCTCCATGATGTGTTTGGGGACCCTGCCTATCTGCAGATGGCACATGGCTATGTGAAGCAAAGCCTGAACTGCCTGAGCAAGCGCTCCATCACCTTCCTGTGTGGGGACGCTGGCCCCCTGGCAGTGGCTGCCGTGCTGTATCACAGGATGAACAACGAAAAGCAAGCAGAGGATTGCATTGCACGGTAATCATGCTTCTTTGTGAGGGTTGTCATGTAGGCATCGTTAGACATTCTGCATATGTAACAAAACATTTTAGAGCCTTTATTTTTCTCTCAGCAAATAAATTGTACTCCTGCATCGGATAAATTCTCATGTTGTTCCTTTGTTGTAGTTAAGGAAATACCATTGTAATCTCTATTTTATTGCAAGATATAAAATGCTGTTGTGATCAGGAATGTGGGATCAAATGCCTAATCATGTGAGTACTAATGCAAGGGGCACTACCCAGGCTCAGTAATTCAAAGAAGTATAGTTCCCATCTTGCAGGTGGGCTCAGAGAGGCCTCTTGGGACCACAAAGTGATTAGAGAGAGGCAGTGGCACACAAATCTAGACTCATTTTTATGTAAATCATGACAGTCCACTACAGTATGACAGTCCACTACAAATTATGAGGAATCCCTAAATTTCTGTGCTATATTTATTGCCTTTCTAGAGCTTATTGAGCACTCTTGAATTTTGCTAAGAAATATGCTGGGCTGGGAAGTCTGCACGTGGGGCTCTTAGGCTCCTAGTAAGTGTGCTGATACCCACAGTGAATTGACCATGTTTTTTTATTCCACTCTTTTTTCCTACAAATTACTGTTAGAATGGCATTACCATCTTAGGTTTAGTTCGCTGAGGGCCCCCTGGGTAATCTTACGTAGTTGGCCCTCCATGTGTACAAGTTCATGCCCACAGATCCAGCCAATCATAGATGACAAGAATTAGAGAAAAAATTATTTCTGTACTGAGCATGCGCAGACTTTCTTCCATGTTGTTATTCCCTAAACAGTGCAACAATTTATATAGCATGCATATGATAGTATAAGTGATCTAAAGTAATTTATAGTGCATGAGAGAAGGGCATAGGTTATATGCTTACAGAGCATTTTATATGAGGGACTGGAGCATCTGCAGATTTTGGTATCTACTGATGGTCCTGGAACCAGTGCTCATGGATACTGAGGAACTGCTGTATGTGTGGTACCATATACTTCACTAGCAGGCTTTCTGGATATTGTAAGATAGGATTGTGTTATATTTGAATAGGAATCATCCAAACCTATGCAGATTTCCCTTCCTCCCCTAATTTTTTCCCATATAGTCATTATATTTCCTTATTGTTAGCTGATTTTTCCACTGGAAATTGTAACAATTTAAAATTTTAAAAAACACATTACTTAATGTTGATAGGAGAAAAAACTATGAACATTCCATTCCACTTCAGGGCTGGAAAGTATTTAGTATAAAATCTGTCACCAAGCTTGATCAAAAGACAAGTAATATAAAACATTAATTTCCTCAAAATTTTAAAGTATGTTTTGGAGCACTTGACTTGCATAAGATCAGCCAGTGCAGAAACTGTCCTTCCTGTATTCAAATTTGAAACACAGAAACTACTTTTTTTTTTTTTTTTTTTGGTACTGGGGATTGAACTCAGGATCTTGTGCTCGCTAAGCAGGTGCGGCACCACTGAGCTAAATCCCTTACCCTAGTGAATCACTCTTAAGTACCATCAAATTAAATTATAGTGGCCCCAAAGTCTTAACATACAGTGCGACTCTCTCCCAAAGTATGCATAGGTGAATAACGATAGTTTGTTGTAGAAAGCCTGTGAATAGATGTTCAGTGAAAACAATGTATTCAAACAGATTGGAGTTTGTATTCAAGCCCTGGCTGCTCAGAGTCCTCAGAGATTATGTGCTCGGAACACTACAGTTCTAGGGAGCAGCACCCGCCACGCTCACGCAGGCGCACACCTGTCCTCTCACCCTGGGGGCTTTGTGAAGAAACGGTCTTTGGGAGATGGTACCATATATTAATATTGGTTTATTAAAATTAAAACACTCTGAAGTGTAAGCAGAGATTCCATTTCATTTTTGGATACCCTGGTAATAAAGATGTTTTTCTTATTTTGTATCTTTTTAAAATGTGTATGACATTTCAACAGTATTTTATTCATAGCCACTAAGCTTGTTAAGGTCAAAAATACAGAATGCGGGTAGATGATAGAAAGATGTGCCATGTATGGTCACAACTTTGACTTTTCAGAATTTTGGAATTCGTGACAGAACAGAAGGAAAAAAATATTTATAAATCACAGCACTTGCTTCATTCTTAATATCTCTTCTCTTTTAAGGAAAAATATATAATTCTTTTCAACTCAATTTCAAGAAATACAAATTTTTTTTATGTCATCAGGTACTTACTAAACCTGTTGCTTTCCTTTTCGCCAAAGTTTCTCCCTCATATCACACCCTTTTGGGATTCACATGTACTCCAATTTTTTGTATATGGGCTCTGTTGTGCTCCACTGCCAGCGACACATTCCAGATTACCTTTCCTACATTTATTGTAATGGCCTTTCACAATCATGATTTTGAGTTTTAGAGTGCAAAAGGCCTTTGAAATTATCAAAAGCCTAAAGCTTAGACAGAGGAACTGAAATCCAAAGAAACAAGTGTTTCCCTTGGATAGAGATTCTTAACCCTTGGCCCCAGGGAACCTGTAAGCTTCCAGAGTTAGGTAAAACCTCCAGATTACTTTCAGCATAAAGAGAGGACGTGTACTTTTCTTGGAGGAGTCTCTGGCTCCCCAAGAGGAGTATGTATCTGTGTTTCTGTTCAGATTATCCTGCAGATGGCCAGAGAGAGCTGGTGAATGACAGTATACACAGCTAGTTCTTTCTTCTGCCTGACATAAATCATGTCTGTTTTTGCCTTTGCTGCTGCACATAGATATTGGTGCTTCAAAACAAACAGAGAGCTTTGCCTGTTTTGTATCTAATTAGATGACTAGCTTGTCATATATAGCACTTTGGGGCCAGTACTTAGAATGATGAAGAACTTTGGCTTTTTGGACAGGAAATATATAACCTCTCTCTTTTGTTGTGTGATGGGTCAGAAAAGGACTTCTTACTAATCTTTTGATATAATACAGGGCAAAAAAAACTCTCCCCCAAAACACCCTGGGGAAATATTGCTAGGAATGGAACAGAACCTTACTAATTTTAAATGTCTTTATTCTTCCTTCAGTGACATTTCAGTGACTTGCTGATCTCTTCCAAAGATTGGTTGCTATTAATATCAACACATCAAAACAAATACATGGAGCTACAGTGATGTGCTTATAATTTTGAGAGTTTCTTCAGACATATAACCATAGTGATTTTTGAATGCTGTCACATACTTATTTTATCTTGAAAATGTAGCATGCAGTTGTAGCATGCAGTTGAAGCATTAAAAAGTCCTACTATTAGTAATCATGAGACCCAACTAAATTTTAGTAGTTTGAATTCAATCCAGAAAAAAAAACTTCCCTTATTACCCTGTTTTATTGTTGTAATATGACACTGGCTCTGAGCAATACATTATTTTTAGTATTTGAAAGGTGTTTGCTACCTACTGTGAACAGCACAAATGCCAGAATTTGCAAAATATGTTGGTTGCAAAATACATAATTGGGATGCTAATTTTATATCACCACCTAGTGGTAGCATGATAACATTGCCAAATAAAGGAATGATGTTTTCTAAAACAAGTGATTCAAGCATTTTATTTTGCTAGAATATCATTGGAGTAATACAGTAGTTGTTCTGATTAATGCTTCTTTAAAGTAGTATTTCCCTAAACACTGAACAGAAATTTTACTTTTTGAATAGCTTTTTCAATTTCCTTTGCAAAAGTAAATCAGAAGTTTTTTTTTATATTTAAAGTTCCATACAGTTTGATAAATTTATGTTAAAACTTGGCAATAGGTTCTTATCTGAACTTGACACATTAATTTTGTTTACTACAATAGTTGAGGTTTTTGTTTGTTTTGTTTTGTTGGTTTTTTGAGACAGGGTCTCACTATGTAGTTGAGACTGCCCTGGAACTCACTACGTAGCCCAGGCTGGTCTTGAACTCACAGTGATCCTCCTGCCTCAGCCTCTCAATTGCTGGGATTACAGGCATGCACCACCACACCTGGCTTAGTTGAGTTTTTAACTAGTAAACCAGATTTGTTTTCTTGTGATCTGTGTTAACTGAATTGGCAGTTCTGGCATAAGGAAAAAATTATAATTTTTGGATTGTTTACCTAGCATGCACAAGGTCCTGGGTTTGATGCACATCACCACACCCACACACAAACACACACACAAATCGGGATATAGGTGTTCATGTATGTGTACACACATATATATGGTACTGAAGTACATGGCCCACAATTCTACCACCTGTATAGCCCTGTAGATATTAAACAAAGGTCAAATAAGCTATTACCTGAAAATAGAAAGAAACTTCTGGTCATGGTGACCCTATTCCTATTGAATGTGAGCTTATTATCTATATTTATTTTTTTAAATGCATGAATCAGCATTTTCATGTTTCTCTAATTTGAGATGTTTCGATTTGTTAAGGTATGTTGTGAAAAAGTTTTACCTTTTTCAGTAACTGCAACTAGCCATGCTGTTTTAAATCCATCTTTCCTTCTGGAGAGTAGGTTCCCTTGAAGCCTCCTTTGTACCTTCTTCTCAGCCCTTGCTTCATAACTGTCAGCCACTTTTGGTCACTGAAACCAGCTCATTCTGGTTCCTGAAACATGTCCTCTTCATTTGAAACCTTAAATGCTCCTCTCCTTTCCCAGTAGCTTACAGAAATAGGGGGTGGGGACGAGGGTTGTTTCTCCTTTCACAGGTGGGACATTTTCACTAAACTTACTGGTGTAAACCTACCAGTGGCCAGTTGTCAGATTTCGTTTGCTTGGATTTCTTTTGTTGTTGCTTTTAGTAACTGTGGGGAATCTCCACAGATTAGTTGTGGGACTGTATATATAACCCCTCAGTATACCTTGACCTCTTCTGACAGACACACAAACCTCAGAAAAAAGACCCACATACATACATAGTCCCCTAACCTGTTTCTATAGCTCAGAGAAACCCACATTGAAGCCCCTCCTAGGTCTTATCCACTGAAGGATGAAAAAGCTTGTGCTGTCACCTATACCTCTAACCTGTGACTACTACTCCCTGCATCAGTGAAAGCCATTTTCTAAACATTTTTACTACACTTATTAACAAATGTCCTAGTGTAGAGTTTGATAGTTATTTGTTATAGAGTACCTCTGAGTTGTTTCATGACAAGTATTTCAAATGCAACCAAGCCTCTCATATTCATGACTTCTGGTACTTCAGTGCTAATTGACCATTCCTTGTGCAAAGAATAAATGTAGATGGCACAGAGGCACAGCACATTGTTCCTAACTACTTTAAAATTAAGTTTCTACACAGACACCAAATGACAGAATTTTTAACTCAGAAGAGCTATTCATTTTATAGATGAGAAATCTTAAGAATAGAGATTAGTTGGTTGAGTGTCACAAACTACCAGATCAATTTGGTTTTCCAGAAATTCCTTGGGTCTTTTTACTAATATCATTTGGTCAGGTTTCACCAACAATTTAAATGTTTTAAATGGGATCACACTGAACTCATAGTCTACTTTAGGGAAAATTGAGATGCACTTTCAAAACTCAATGTGATAATATAAAACAGCAAGGATATTTTCTCTGGCTATCAGTTTGTCGTATAACCCCACACACTCCCTCAAAAAAGAAGAGATTCTTTTATAGGGTTCGAATGGCCAAATGAGGTTTCTTTCCTACATTTATTCCCTCTCTGTCTCCCCTGCTCTGCCCTATACTTCCCATGGTACTTCCCATGGTTGCATCTGGAACCTGGTGTTTTGGAGGACAGAGACAGATAAAGCAGTGGGGTCCCCTCCTTCCTGGATCCTCGGATCTGTGCAGAAGGTTCCCTCCCTTAGAGTTTTGACTCCATTGAGTTCCCATTATAGTATTGCTTATGGCCTGGGGTAAGAGAAAAAAGTACAGGAGTTACTCTAGTATTAGGAGTTTCTTTTGCTTTCTTGTTAACTGAGAGAGAACTGAAAGGATCCTTCCGAGGTTCTGTTGGCCTCCCCATTGCCCATGTGTAGGATTTACCTTACAGTACTGAGTTCAGGCCAGGGGAAAATACAGCAAACTCACCCCTTTTGGTGGCTCTTCAAATTCTGGTCTTCCCCATTCTGCCTGATGCTGTTTTACTTTCGGAGTCCTTAAATATCTGCTTCATGGCTGTCTGGAATTTAGGGCTACATTAAGTGAGAAAGGCAGGGTGAAATCAGTTTACTCCATCTTTTCTGGAACTAGAACTGAAAACTGTCTGAGAAGCTGAACTGAGTCTGTCAGTAAAGACCTAATAAATTTAATCTATCCATTTAACAATATACTACACTGCAACTGTTAACAAAGAGTGAGCATATTGTGTGCCACAGTGGTGTGGTTGTGAAGAAGTATTATTAAATAGCAAGTTGGAGAACAGGTAGAGATAGAGTCAGTAAACAAGTCTGCTTCTGAAGATAAGAGCCAGAGGCTGAGAGTGGGAAGCAGGAAGGCTGAAACCTTTGTGCCACTGCATGTGTTGCTGCTTGGGAAGGTCAGGCTGCTGTACGGACACTTCACATAGGGCTGGTAACCCATTAAGGAATAAACCAAGAAGGAACCCAGTGGGGTATAGCTGGAGTTTCTTTTTATGACTATAGCCCTTGAGTGTTGATTTAGTCCTTTCTCCTGAGTATGAAATGCTACAACAGCCAGCAGTTGTTTGTTTCTCTGACCCCAGCTGCTGAAGTACTAGTCTTGGGGCACACCTCTGTGAGGAAGTAGGGATACTTTGGGTAGCCTTAGCGCAGACTTCTATTTATTCCTTCATCAAATTTTCATCAGTTCCACTGTGAAGAGAGATTTAATCGAAGACTTATGTTTGAATGTTGATAAGTTCCTTTCAAATTACCTCAGGCTTAAATTTCTATTCCTAGGCTAATTCATCTAAATAAGATCGATCCCCATGCTCCAAATGAAATGCTGTATGGACGAATCGGCTACATCTATGCTCTTCTTTTTGTCAATAAAAACTTTGGGATGGAAAAAATTCCTCAAAGCCATATTCAGCAGGTACCGCATTTTTCTGCTTTGTAGTTTTTTTAGAATCCCACTGTCTTATTCTCTCCCTAAACAATTGTCTTTGTTTTTCCAGTCAGCACACTCCAAGTAGAAAGATAATGTATTTCCCGGCTCTCTGGAACCACTGTAGGGAGGGACTTGGAGTCAGGCCAACTTACTCCATTTGAGAGTTTTTAGAGACCCTTTCAGAGGAAGTTTAGGGCCAGATTTCACCTCCCAGATGCAGCTGTCTCCTGTGCCTAGAGGTGTTTATGCTTTCCTTTTTGGTTTGTTTGGTTTGGTTTGGCTTTGGGGGATTGGGGGGGTTGGTTGGTTTGTTTTTTAAGACAGGGTCTCACTATGTAATTCAGGCTGGCCTTGAGCTCACTGTGTAGCACTAGTGAGAAGAGTTCACTATCTAGCCTGCCCTTTCTCGCATTGTAGCCTACACAATGTAGCCTGCCCTCCCTCACAGTTTTCAGTTCCCTCACTGGTCTGAAGCAGAAGTAAACTGCACTTCTGGTCAGAAGGTGGTGTCTAATTTGCTCTCAATTCTTTGGCACTTCTTGTGAAAAAACTTTGCTTCCACCCTGGATGGGTTGCATTCTAATTATTATTTTGGTTGACTCTCTCCCTATAGATTTGTGAAACAGTTTTAACCTCTGGAGAAAACCTAGCTAAAAAGAGAAACTTTACGGCAAAGTCTCCATTGATGTATGAATGGTACCAGGAATATTACGTAGGGGCTGCTCATGGCCTGGCAGGAATTTATTACTACTTGATGCAGGTAAGGGGTGAGTATGGTGAGACTTTAGAGTATGCTTCCTGATGGCCATACTGTCTTAAGGGGGAAGACAGATCCTTAGCAATATTTTATCCTTCTTTTTTCATACTTATTTTACCTGCTTGAGCTGAACAAACAGAAATGTTGGCCCAGATGCATTTTAAAGTATATAAACAAGGAATGGGCTGCTTCATGGTGTTTGACTTTTCTGTTGCCACACTTGCCTACTCAGTGCTATTTGTACAAACTATTTTGACCGATAAACTTATGTGAAGTACCCTTTTACTCTCCTCTTCCAACAGTTCCCTTGAGTTAAGAGTATTAGTCTGCCTTATATGGTACAACCCACTGAAACAGATACCACGAGTAAGATCAAAACCAAATGAGCACATGTTGTCTAAGGCTCGCTTAGCAAAGCTGAGACATTTTAGTGAGTGTTGCATAATGTACCTGAAAAATAGCTGAATATGCTATGCTCAGCAGTTCTTAGGTTTTGATAACACTGAGAGATGTCAATCAAAGTCAAGTAAGCTGCAAACAAATGGAATTCACTACCCCTCCAAAAAAATTGATTAATGGCAGAACTGCCACTCTCGCCTTCCCAAAGCATAGTGTGACATAAAGTGTTGCATTAATGTAGTTAACATGACTGCTTGGATGTACATGTTACACCTAACATGTACATGTTACATCTAAGTAGCTGACTGTAGTACAGAATCCTTGTTAGCCCTTCCCTCTGCCTATAACTAAATAATGAGAGGGGAGCTAAAATACTCTTAAGTTATTACTGCTTTGGAATACAAAGTCGCACTCAGATTGTTAGTGGCAATCCAAAGAAAGTTGTATTTATTCTGTACTTCTCAACTAGAAGTTTCCAATTAGAGTTTTTGACAGTTTAAGCTTCAGTTCTTTTATTTTTCTGGGACATTCAGGAGCTCACTGTTTCTCAGAGTACATGTAGATCCTTAAAAGTTTTCGGGAAAGGAGAGCTTGTATCTTCTGAAGTTCAAGGTGAGTTAGAATCATGCATGTTGGTGACCAGATAGCCATATTGACCTTCTTTAAAACAGATAATCAGGAGATACTCTCTGCCTGCCTCTGTTAGCTATAATAAGATAACTGAAAACCCAAGTACTGATTTTCCATTTGTGGACTATTATATATTTGAAATGATTTAATTTTTATTCTTGAAAGTCCACTCTAGTATATGCCTTTCTACCAACATAAAATAAACCAATACTACTTTTAGGCCATGTTGGATTACCCTTGCAAGTTTCCCCATTCTGCTCTAACACTAAATTGAACTTGAACACTGTTCTTTATGTAAAGGGCAGCCTGTGTCCTCTGAAGAACTCAGTGCACATTCCAAATCTTGTAAAAAGTGTGTGGTGTCTGCATTCCCAGCACCTCCTCCTGCCTGTGCCTCACACCCTGTCCCCACTTCAGCCTCACATGCCCCACCCATTGCTGACTGCACAGCACTGTGGACTGGTAGTTTGAAGAGTGTGCAGTGCATTGAGTTAAGAACAGGAGCAGAGAAATTAAAAAGTGATATCAAAAATGGCATCTCATATGCCCTACATCAGTGTGTCCTGTAAATCTGAACATCATTCAGGCTAATCCTATATATAGATTGGTTTTAAATCCTCTGCAGAAAGATTTGATCTGAAGTCATGCTGTAGCTTGACATTAGATTCCAGGTGTCCTTTTCTATTGAAACATCATTTATCGCTTCTCCAAATGTAGTAATGAAAGTTGTGCTTGGTGATCTACCACATCTCTTTACGCTCTTAAAGCATGCTTTAGGAATTGAAATTTTAGGAAACTTCTGCTTTCATATTCTCAAGCATTGAATTAAAATTATTTGTATGTATGTAAATAACAAGTATTGAAAATTAATGCACACAGAAGGCCCTGAGTTAACTGATGACCTAATTTAATTTGTTCTATTACTTAACGATTATAAAATGACATCACAAAAGTTTACTTAACAAAGATTTTGGAGTAGGTGGAAAAAATTGGATGAAATCCAAACCTTTTAATGACTTTCCAGTTCATGTTTCTTGTTTTTCTGATTTAAAATGCATACTGGGTTGAGGGAAGGTCTCTTCACTTCAGCAGAACTAATAATTGTTTCTCATTTTTTAGCCCAGCCTTCAAGTGAGCCAAGCAGAGTTACATAGTTTGATCAAGCCCAGTGTAGACTTTGTCTGCCAGCTGAAATTCCCTTCTGGCAATTATCCTCCATGTCTGGATGATAATCGAGATCTGCTTGTCCACTGGTGCCACGGCGCCCCTGGAGTAATCTACATGCTCACCCAGGCCTACAAGGTACAGTGTTTTCTTCTTAAAAAAAAAAAAAAAACTAGAAAATATAACAAAAATTTTATAATTTAAAATAACTAGTTGGACCTTAGATCATTTTGCTGCATGGTGTTATAATTCATTTCACAGTATCCATTGTACTTTAACAGACATTATTTCGCAGAGCAGTTGATTGCTTCATAATAGGTAGAGTAACCAAGACAACAGCAAACAGCATCTGTGGCCGCACTCAGCGACTCAGAACCTCAATTAAAAACAGAACCCTCATTGCTGGTGGGAGCATGAAATGATGTAGCTGCCATAGAAAACAGTTTGTGGGTGTTCAAAAAATTAAACATTCAAGTAATATATAATCTATATCTAGGGCCAGGGATTTAGCTCAGTGGTGCCGTGCCTGTCTCACAAGCATGCCAGGTCCCAGGTTCGATCCCTGGTACTTAAAATAAAATAAATAATCTATATGTAGCAATTCTACTCATAGATGTACACCCACAGAAACTAAAACCAAGAATTCAAACAGACAGATGTGTACCAACTTTCATAATAGGTCCTTGCTGAGTATCCTTCAACAGATGAACAGAAAACGAAAACATGACGTACACAGAATTTATTTAGTCTTAAAAAAGAATGAAATTCAAATACGTACCACAACTTATGGGCCTTGAAAACATACTAAGAGAAATAAGCTAGACACAAAAGGATAAAATAAATACTTTATGACCCACTTATTCAAAGTGATGGCTAACATGAAGTGTCCAGAATAAGCAAATTCATAGAGACAGAAAGTAAAAGGTTCTGGAGCTAGGGGGAGAATATCGATGTATTGCTTAATGGATAGTTTCTGTTGGGAATGATGAAGTCTTGCAAATAGACAGTAATGATAGTAATACTACATTATGAGTGTAATTAATGCCACTGAGTTGAATGGTTAAAAATTGTTCAAATGGTAACTTTGATAATGTGTGTATATTACTACAATTTTGCAAAATACAAATATCACTCCTAAAAGGCTTGTTGTAGCAGAACTGTAACAAAGAACAAAAAGGTACTTAACTGAAAAAATTGAAGATATTGATGATCATTGGTGCCAAGTCAACCAATTACAAATCTGTGAACTATAGACACTGACATCTCATAACTAAGCTTTTACTATATCAAATTCATTTCAGAAAGTTGAATATAAAGAAAAAAAAATTAAACTGCTTTATACTACTTTTTAAGGACATTTTCTTTTCAATGAGATAACTAAAAATATCTACTCACAATATAAGTTTTTGATCAAGACATGAAAGGCAACAAAGGGTTATAAAGGTTACCTTTTTCTAACGAAGCCTGGTGCTTTATAATCAATTTGCAGTTAACAACTAACAGTTTCTTCTCTGGTGTATAAAGAAACTTTTTTTTTTTTTTTGGTACCAGGGATCAATCTCGGTCCTTGCATTTATGAGGCAGGTGGCGGAACCACTGAGCTAAATTCCCAACCCCTTCTTTTTTCCTTTTTTAATAAAGAAACTTCCTAATGGCAAAAGGTATCATAGTTACAAGAGAAGTTAGCATGTGCTCTTTGGAGAGCGACTGATAACAGCAATTTGCAGCGTAAATGATGTTGCTTCATCAGAAACGTCCACATACACAAACAGGTGCAGGACTCTGTAGACAAGGGCATACCCGATTTAAAAAGCAGCAAAGCTAATCAGTTTTAATAATTTGTCACTCTCGATGTAACACATCTCTCACTAAAACCCTTGCCTTTTCTTGCTAGTCTCTCTTTTTCTTCCCTCTCCCATCTCTTCTTTCCTAGCAGGAAGGAATGTCCCCAGGACTTCCTTTTGTATCCACTCTATAATAAAACTCACGTCCCTTGACCCTGCAGGTGTTCAGAGGGGAGCAGTACCTCAGCGATGCCTACCAGTGTGCCGATGTGATCTGGAAGTACGGGCTGCTGAGGAAGGGCTATGGGCTGTGCCACGGTGCTGCAGGGAACGCCTATGCCTTCCTGACGCTCTACAACCTCACACAGGACAAGAAGTATCTGTACAGGGCCTGTAAGGTAGGAGTCAGCAGGAAAGCAGCCCCTCAGCGGGTTCTGGAAGGGACTGTAGCTCATCTGATTCAGTAAATTTATTTTAAAGACAAGCATATTCTTTAAGAAAAACCTTCAAAACCTAAAGGGCCATAATTCTACTCAACAGTATTTATGGAAGAAAAAAATAAAGATGCAGGGTGATTTTCTTCTCTCCTTCTTGGATAACCTTGGCAATCCCTGGCTCAAACAATTCATTAAATTCCTCCCACTACATACTCTTCTTTTGGAATGGACATCCATTTCTGGACATCCACTTCTTCTCTGACTCAGAGATGAACTCTGAGCCAGGCTTGGTGGCACATGCCTGTAATCCCAGCACTCAAGAGGCTGAGGCAGGAGGATCACTGTGAGTTCAAGACCAGCCTGGACTACATAGTGAGTTCCAGGTCAGCCTCAACTACATAGTGAGACCCTATCTCAAAAAACAAAACAAAACAAAATAATAATAGTAAAGATGATCTCTGTCAACTTCTAGAGTCTCAGGAAGAAATCATTATAGTAATTAAACCTGGTTTTATTTTCAGTTTGCTGAATGGTGCTTAGACTATGGAGAACATGGATGCAGGACACCAGATACCCCTTTCTCCCTCTTTGAAGGTATTCACACATTATTTATTTGCCTTATAATATCAGCAGCTACTTTTGTGCTTCCTAATTAATGCATTTGAATTTCAGTTGCAGCAGCAAATTAATTTTATTACTTAACACTTTATTTTCTCATATGACAAGTTAGCATTAAAAATCAGCACTTGTCCCACCATAGACTGAGTATTTATAGTCACAGTGGTAACTACCATTTATGGAGCTGGGCACACGCTGAGCATTTTGCAGATGCCACTGTAAATCATTTCCGCACAACCATCAAATATTACTGTCCTCACATCACAGATAAGCAGACTGTGCTCTCACTGTGGTAATGACAGACAGTGACTTGGACATATCTGTCTCTATTCTCTCTCCTGTCTCACCGTGGATAAAAAGGCCGAGCATGTCACTAGGGATCTCAAAACTGCAGAGTACGTAAATAGAGATTTCTGTTTCCATTAAGTCACTGTCATTACTATTGTGATGTAACGTGTTAATCTAAGGAGTGGAGCTGCTCCATGGAGTGGAATCATTTGGTGTAATATCTTTTGCCTTTCTCTCCCAGGGATGGCTGGAACAATATACTTCCTGGCAGACCTGCTCATCCCCACCAAAGCCAAGTTCCCTGCATTTGAACTGTAAGAGGAAAGCGTTACCCCCCGCAACTTACTGCAGGACCCTTTCTGTATGTCCACACCTGGGCACAGTGCTTCACCTCTTTTCAAGGAAACATAGCGTCCAATTGTATACTCCATTTAGTTGATTTTTTTAAATTATTTTTACTGTATTTTAAAGTATGCAAGGAAGTCTTTTAACTTTTGAGTTTCTTCCAACAGGAAAGATGAGTGACAAGTACAGTATTTTGAGGTCATTTGTGTATATTTCAGAACTTGGAGGATTTCTTACTCTTATTTAAGTTGATGAATGTAAGTATTTCTGTTCTAAAAATATTTAAAAGAAACTCAAATATAGATAAGCAAACTTAAGTATGTGAATATGATTGAATATTGTCTTCCAACCTCTTTTGTTTAATATTCTTTCTCTAACAGTAAAGCAGTTTTATGGCTTGCTTTTCTCTATGTGGTTGATCATAAAAAGGGACAAAAATAAAACTACACTTCCAGGGAAAAATTTCCAAGAGTTGCAAACTGGACTCAGGACCTTAATAGCATTTTTCAAATTCTTGTTGCTTATTTGGACTAGAGATAAACATACTTTCAAATTTGCCTCTTTGTCAGAGAAGCATGCAAGCCCCTGTAGGCCAGCATTTTGTGATGATTGTCATGAACATTCTGATTTGAAAGTTAGTTCAAAATAAGCTTATATTAACATTTTATCATTTTCTCTAAAATAATTGCATGTATGTTTGAACTATTTACTCAGATTCATTTATGTTTATTCGTTGCTATTCCCATGAGTTCAGGACACAAGTTTTCTATGTGAGTGGGCTATGAGCACAGACTCTTGTCTGTCCTCTTCTACATAACTTCTAAACCTGGACTTGTGGTTTCACTTACTCTGCAGAGGCTATGCTTCAGTGCTGGCTGCTTAGTAAGAGCCATATAATTTATTCCTGTCAATTTACCTAAACATTGGTCTTTTCACTAAATACTACAGGAGTCTACCTTTGCTTATAAGGAGGCAGGAAAGGAAATGCTGTATAGCCAGTAACTTGAAAAAGAACATTAAAGTCTTAACAGAAATTGTCTACTAGGAGGTATTACATGAGTTCATGTTTGTAACAAATGAATCTTTGCATATCCTAGGCTTAACTGTTTGTCTGCCTAAGACCACAGAACCAGGTTTTTATTTTGTATGGTAGATGAAGACTCCTTAGTGTTTCACATTCTACACAGATGGCTTGCTCATCAGATCTTCCCCCTCCTCCTCCTTTTGCTTCCTTTCCCAGGCCAAGCAAGACAATTTTTGACTGATTTTAGAACATTATGCAGCTTTAAAATAACAGGGTCTGAGAACTTTAAATGTGCCAATTTTATTGCTCTCTTGGTCACAAAAACGTGTTTTTATTGGAACTTTAAACCAAATCCCCACAGAGTATATGCTGGTTCCTATGGATAGCAATCCTCTGTTATTTTTTTCTTTTTACCACCAAAATAGCCAGTATTACTGAAAATTGTCTGACCCTTTAAAGTCTACTGACAGTTGGATCTACAGAGTAGCCCACTGTTCAATTCCTAGGTTTAGATCACTCCCTCTGTGACTTATGGAAGTCAGGGAACTCGTGCCTCTTAGATTGCTGAAGTGCTCCTGGTAAGCTGTATACAAGCTGTGCTTTTCTTGTGGAAGTTTCAGATCAGCAGTGTTGGCATTTACAGGAATAAGTAAAAGGAACACACAGTGGAGTTCATTTGCCTTTGGCCGGGTGTCCAACTTAAAAGAATAAAGCCATTTGGTTTAGTTAAATGTCCTATTACATTGTGCCTGTACTTTTAGCTACCATAATTACTAACCAAGGGAAAAAGAGCAGCACACACTTTGTGTGAGCCAGGGGAGTCTTAATCACAGTTGCTTCCCTGAGCATCTTGCTTAATTTAACCCCAGGAAGACGTCAAAGCAGGGAGAACATTCTACATATGATTCTTGTTAATATTTCGATTACAGTTCAGTTTTTGTCAGCTGTTAAAATTCACCAACATAGACATGATTAAAGTTTTTTTTGGTAGTTTTTTTAAAACTGTTACTAAACTGACCATATATTTGCGCCACTGTTTGTTTTATTTATGCTTAAAAGCTAAGATAATTTTGGTAGGATTTTAAACTCAAGCAGAGGGTACAAAGCCAAGACCAATACTTTAACACCATGGTAATGACTAAAAGAAGGTTTTTCACTGACTTTTTTTACCTTCAGAAGGAAGCAGTAGCATCATTTTAGTTCTATTTGTACTGTGCTTCTCCCTCAGATACCTTTCTTCTCAGCTAAAAACGTCCCCAAAAGTTGTTTCCTAGAAAATTCAATAGCATCTCATACCTCCATGCAAAGACTGGGTAGTAAAACCTTCAAAGCTTGTCAAGTAGTGTTCATTTATCCTGTGATAGGTTTCTGTTCAGATGGTGATGAGAAATTGCAGTGGTTAACTTTTCTTCATGTGAAAGTGTTAACATAATCATGTGCATTCCCATAGCCCCCACCTCGTGTTAGTTACATCTGAATTTAATCCTTAGAGTCATCTGGTTCCCTTTTCATCTTTCATGTCAGTTTCAATTATCTACAATTAAAAGTCTCCATGGTAGAGTTTTAAGTAAAAGGGGATATTTGACTATTCTGTCCTTACTACCATTTCCCTAAAATCTCTGGTTCTTTTCATCTTTCATGTCAGTTTCAATTATCTACAATTAAAAGTCTCCATGGTAGAGTTTTAAGTAAAAGGGGATATTTGACTATTCTGTCCTTACTACCATTTCCCTAAATAACTGAATTGAGAGATACACTCTATTCTATATCCTCAGGTTAATTCAGATTAATTTGTGTCCAGTCTTTCGATGCCCTACCTTCTACAGAAATTGTGAACAGTGGATATCTATTTACACACTCTCTTGGCTACTAGGATTCATCTGTAGTTAGCCTGATTACTCAAACTGAATTTTTATTCCATTTCTGCTCCCCCAGAACAGTTGAGAGCACATTTCTGCATGTTCTGTACTGCTGAGCTTTAGAACTGTTTATCTCCTATAAAGATAAAGCAATGATTGGGGTTTTCAGGGAACCCACTGCTATATTGTATTGTTATTGGGAAGGGCTGGGATTGTATGTATTTGTATGTTGCATAAAGACTTTGACTTACTGGTTCTCATTAAAAAAATTATTAGAACTATATGTTGTCATGGGCTTTTTGTTTGCTTCATTTAAACTTGAATATTTTCCCTCAGTAGTACATGCATTTCCTGGAGCTTGTTTCTACGTCTTTCTTCATTGCTAGTTCAAAGAAGACTTCTACTGCTCTCTAAAAAACGGAACTTGCTGAGAAGAAAATATTTTAAAATCTAATCATCATAGAATTAGGAGGGCTCTACAAGGCTTCAAGCAGAGCAGTGCATTATCCATCTCACACATGTGAGCCCACCATGTAGTCAGTAACTAAAGGTCTAGTTCCGGAAATTCATTTCCCTGCTAATTCTGAAAGGACTTTGAAGAGAAGAGGTTTGAGTAAGGCACAGACGTAAAACATACAGTATATGCAGAGGCCGGAGAAGTTCTATTCAGTCACCTGGGATGACTTTCTATTACTACTTTCATGACACAGCTAGTTAGTGTCACTTACTGCCGCAGAGATTTCCCAAATTATAAAGTACTTGTTTTCATCTCTAACTTATGTTTTGTCTTCTTGTAGGTATAATCAAAATGCCCTTCTTTCCTCACTGCATTGACTGTCTCATAACACTGAGGCTAAACGCAGTTATCTTTATTTCCTTTGAATGAAGTAATGGCAGAGTAATGTGTGTGGTGATAACAAGTCCTTACATGCAGGCAATGGAGCGTGGAGAGGACAGTGCCTTGCAGAGGTCACAGGGACCGCCACAGTGCTACTTAGAGCAGTCCCACTGACAGCCCAAGGTAAACTGCAGCTGGTAAGGCCAGTTGGCACCGTTCTCTACTATACTTCTCCCCACCAGAACAAAAACAATGACAGGCACATTAAATTGCACCACAGTTGCAATCATCAAAACAACTCAACTTCCCCATCATAATTTATTCCTAGTTTTGCCTTACAAAAGACCTTTGTCTCCCCTCATATTCTCTAAGAGTACAATAATTTTTATATCTTTTTTTTTTTTTTTTTTTTTTTTTTTTTTTGGGTTT